TGCATTATTGACATTATTCGGACTGTTACCTTATCTTCATTGCCATATTCACATCGTTTCGGTCGTTGTAGGCTCCCGCCTTCTTCAGGTGATTTGAATTTTTCTTCAATATCTGTCTATACCTCTGAGATGAGGAATTAAATTTACTTGTATTATTTACATTATTAGGACAGTTATCGTCATCTTCATTGCCATATTCACAACATTTCACCCGTTTAACGCTCACGCCTTCTTCAGGTGATTGGAATTTTTCTTCAGTATTTGACTATATCTCTGAAATGGGGTCTTATGATTACTCCAAGTTTTGGTGCACCATTTCTGTGGCCTGTTATTGAACTCAGAAATATTTGGGTCTAATCACTGGATCGAACAAATGCCTTTATCCAATTGGCCATGTATCCTTGAGAACCCACACTGGAGAGTTCAGTTAAAGTGAAATAACTGAGACATCCGGAAGAGGCATGACACGTGGAACTAGAACAATCTACCCCGAATGGACAAAATAAAGGGCTCGGTTCGAAATGCCAAATATCTGAAGAAGGCCGGAAATTACAACGGCCGAAACGTTGTGAATATGGCAGTGAAGAATCGCATAGCAGTAGGAATAATTTAAATAATGCAAGTAATCATAATATCTCATCTAAGAGATATAGACAGATATTGAAGAAAAATTCCAATCACCTGAAGAAGGCCGGTGCGTACGACGGCCGAAACTTTGTGAATATGGCAATGAAGAAGAGGATAACAGTACAAATAATGCAAGTAATCGATACAATGAGTTGTTCTGATTGCAGGGTTCGTATTTGTTATAATAATATTAAACGAATATTTATTTGCAATAAACCCTCGACAGTTTTTCGCTTGATTGTTTGTTGAACCTCAACCAACTGAGTTTACTATCTCTATCTATAAAAGGCAGGATATGTGTGTGTGTGTGTGTGTGTGTGTGTGTGTGTGTGTGTGTGTGTGTGTGAATGCACGGCCGCAATTTTCGACGGATTTGCACCAAAAATTACATGCACATGCTCCAAGTTAGTGGAAAAGGCCAAAACCGACTTTGTATTTCCCAACTCCTATCGATAGTTGAAATAATCGATTTTTTCATGCTTCTACGGCAGTTTTCATGTAGTTTGCGACCATTTTGTACTGGCGAGAGTGAGAGCCAATAGCTGGCTGTCACGAATAGGCAGGAAGATTCTATTGGCCAGTGTGAGAGCCAACAGCTGACTGATACGAATTTTAACTAGCATGTTAGCATGCAAAAAAATCGATAGCTGCATTCGTCACAAGTGGGAAAAATTTAAATCTGCATGGCACTTTACTCCAATTGGCTCATTCGCTTGTTTAAACTCAACGTTGATTCTGATTCCGCAGAACTGGGTTGGATGTGAAAAAGTATTTGTTGTTAACATTCTTTTTTACGAGTCCTTTTTTAAAGCTTCGTTTTTTTCCATTTTGTTTACGAGTTTCGTAACAGATTTAATGTTTAGTATAGAGCTTAGAAAAATTTGCAGTGTGAGATAGGCAAGAAGTAAGGCATGTAGCAACATCAGCACGGCAAAGGGCACTCCTTTAAAGGCAAGGAAGGGCAAAAATATTTTAAGTCAAGTGATAGCGATTGTTGTATGAGTCGTACGATTTGTGAATCAAGCACGGGCAACGCCGGGCCATGCTGCTAGTCAGCGAATAAATTGCATCTTGAGAAATATATAAAATTGTTTTTTTACAGAATTGATTAAGGGAACTGGAAAAAAATAAGATTTTGTCGAAAAATGAATATCTTTTGCGGATATAATTTATTTTTATTAGGATTTATGCGTGTGTGTGATTGCAGGCTTAATTAGATACGATGAATATTTCAAAATTTCACGGACATGACAAATAAGCTTTTGACGTAAATAAAAGTAGAGATTTCTGATATCGAATTATTCCTTAACAATTTTATTGGTTTATGTCCTCGTGAAGGGATGTACGGCTGGACTGCGTTACGAAGATCCCGATTGCGGTTGGCTTCAATTTGAGATGTGATCATAGAAGAAGAAGAAGATCTATGTACCTCACACTTTTCATATCTATCTATCTATCTATCTATCTATCTGTCTATCTATCTATCTATCTATCCTAAAACTGTTCATCTCTCTCTCTCTCTCTCTCTCTCTCTCTCTGAGCAATCTCTCTATATATCCCAGAAATTCATATATCATATATGGATTAAAAATCTATCTATCTATCTATTATATCTATCTATCTATCTATCTATCTCTTTCTCTCTCTCCCTTGTCTATTTTTTTCAATTAAATGTGCAAGAAAAAGAAGATTTCTGCCTAAATTCACACACACACACAGAGACTTATATATATATATATATATATATATATATATATATATATATATATATATATATATATATATAAATAGAATTATCTTATCTATCTATCTATCTATCTATCTATCTATCTATCTATCTATGTGTCAGTCTGTCTGTCTGTCTGTCTCATAGTAAATTTTCTGATGAACTTTCCTCTATCGTAGCAAGACTTTATGTACTTAAGTTCGGTACTAGATTGACAGCAAGGTCACCTCATTTTGCAGATGAATTATCTAGATGTAAGTGTAAGTTCTATGCTAGTGTTTTCTTCTATCGCACTTCTCGCCTGCGGAACCCTCATCCAGATTTTGGTTTTCCAGTCATGTTTGATCTTCAAAAATGTAAATGCAATCTCCATCGTCATCTGTCTTTTTAATTTCCATTCTATTATTATTGTGGCTGCTTAATAATATGCTTGTTTTCTGTCTATATTTCTGAAATGAGGTATTATGTACACTATTTTTATTATTCGGACTATTGTCCTCATCTTTGTCACATAATATTGAGAATAGAGAGAAAGAGCGAGAACAGAAAAATATTTTACATGCATTATTTATATAAACTCAGACTGAGATAGATAGATAGATAGATAGATACGAACAGCATTATATATATATATATATATATATATACATAGAAAAGGAGAGAGAGATGGGCGAGAGAGAAATAGATAGATAGATGTTAGATAGATAGATAGATAGATTGTTTTAGATAATGAATCAACATATACATATATATATATATAGAGAGGGAGAGAGAAAGATAGATAAGACAGATACAAAATAACATTATATATATATCAATTGTTCTGGATAGATATATAGATATATATATGAATATATATATATATATATATATATATATATATATATATATATAGAGAGAGAGAGAGAGAAAAAGATAGGTAGATAGATAGATACGAACAGAATTTTATATAAATATATATATATATAGAGAGAGAGAGAGAGAGAGACAGAGAGAGAGAGAGAGAGAGAGAGAAGAAGAAAAACCACCATAGATAGATTAACAAATCATTATATATATATATATATATATATATAGATATATATAGATAGATAGATAGATAGATAGATATATATATAGATAGATAGATTTACATAGATAGATAGATAATTTAAATTTATGTAACCTAATCTTGAAAATAATTTTAAATGTCTTCATTATAAACGAGATATTTTATTTAGCCTATAAACTGCTGACCTTGGCCAATCCGTTGACTAAACTCTATATCCATTTACTGTAGTTAAATTAGGTCTTCAAGGGTTGCATGATACACGGGTATATTTGGTATATAGTAAGTACCTCCAAAAATTTAGTATACTAAGGTTTAAATATATTTTCAAAATTAAATAAATATCCTTTCTTCTTTTTCCCCCAGCTTCAATTGAAAGCTAAAGGATTACATTTTCTAAGTCCAGAAAAAAAAATACTGTGGAATATTTCAAATAGAAATTTGAATGATTTTTAGTCGATTCTTCCGGAAAAAACCATGAGAACGGCCATTTTTAACTTTTTTAGTGAAATGTAATCTCAACTTATTTTTTTTTTTTTCGTTTTTGAAAATCCTGCTAAAATAAAATATACATTTCTGAAACATTACTTTCGTAAAATTAGCAAAATTAAAGTCAAACTAATCTATTCTGAAACAAATATCACTTACTTATAGCATAAAATTTTTCTAGACAAACATTTCTTGACCTCGGGGTCTTGGTATTTTCACGTCTCCATCGATAATTTGATGGCTGAATGTATTGACAGGTTTAGTATGGTGTACCAGAATTGACATAATTTTATGAATTCTAAGTAAGAATATTTTTTTTGTTTCTTATAATAATTTAAAATACTATAAAAAATTACATTATATTGAGTTACCTCTATAATGATATTTCATTATTTAATAGCTAAGATAATGATAAATAATTTTATCAATTATTAATATTACATTAAGTTATTACATTTTTAATTTAATAACTGAGATAATAACTACTAAAATTATTATTATATTAATAATTAAAATATCTCACTGAGTTATTAATTGTTTAAATTGATATATGTGATAATTTTATTATGGCAATTTAATTTTTAATTTAATCACTGAAAGTGAGATAATTTAATAACTATCTCACTCTAAATCATTAAATTTTTAAAATGAAAAAGAGAAATTTCATTATATTATCTGTCACAGTTATTAAATTAAAAAAATAAATTATTTTGACTCTCTCAAATTTGTTATATTTTTCAAAAAATGATTATGTATATTTACATTATTCAGACTATTGTCCTCATCTTTGTCGTCATATTTAAAAAAAAAAATAACCTTTCAGTATCTGTCTATATTTCAGAGATGAAAATTTTTTTAAATTAAAAAAAATTATTCGGAAGAAAAATGTCCACAAATTTTTGTTAATATTTATCATTCGTCGAAATGTTTTTTTTCAGATAATGTCTATTTTTAATGTATGATTATTTATAAAAGCTAATTAAACATTATTCGGACTATTGTCCTAGTCTTTGTTGCATTTTATTTTAAAATTTTTGATGATTTCAGTATCTTTATATATTTGGCAGATTATTAAAAATATGTATTTAAAATTACATTATTTGGAAGATTGTCCTCATCTTTGTCGCCATATTTGTTAAAAAATTTTTCGAATTTTCAGTATCTGTCTATATTGCTGAGATGAAATTAAAATGTAACTATTTAAATTTTTTCGGACTATTGTCCTCATCTTTGTTTTCATATTAGTTAAAACAAAAAAAATTTCATTATTGTCTATATTTCTGAGATGAGGTTTTACACTATTTAAATTATTCGAATTTATCCTCATCTTTTAATGCCATATTAATCACAACGTTTTTCAATTCAAAATCTGTATATATTTCTGAGAAAGGTAAAAAAAAAAAAGAAAAACATTATTCGGAAAATTATCCTCATCTTTGTTTTTTATTGATTTCTTTTTTAAATAATTTCTTTCAATCTGTTATATTTCTGAGATGAGGTATTAAATTTAACATTTTTTTTAAATTATTTTGTTTTTTTTCATTTTGTATTTATATTTATTACAACCTTAGAACCTGAAGATCCACTAAAAATTATTCAAGAATAACTTTAAATTTATACCCCAAATGAAAACAAATGAAGGGTTCAGTTCGACATTCCAAAAACCCTGAAGAAGTCAGGAAATGTACAACGGATATTTAATAAATATATATATTAAAATGATATAACAGATCCGAATAATGTAAATAATGTCACTTTTCAATTATTAAATATTTAACTAACTAATATATTTATATCCTTTATTATTAATTGCTATACTTTGTTATTAATTGTTAATTTATTTATTTAAATTGCAAAAAAGATAAGAAACTAAACAAATAAAATTATTTTTCTTAGCTAAGTCAAAACTAATAAATAAATCCAATTATGCCTGACACACATTATAAGAGTAAGTAAGGTGAATAAATAGTAAAATTAAAAATATTAATGAAATAGGAAAAAAGAAACTTTAGAAATCATCCCGATATTAAAAGATATTAAAAGAAGCCTATTGAAACGTAGGGATGACGAAACACGGAAGTAAAATGAAAGTTTTTTAATAGGCGAAAAAATTTTTATAAGTCAAGGAAATTTTTCTAAATAGATAAAAAATGAAACACCTAATATCACTTACGATGCACCATACTAGAAAAAATATAACATTTTGACGCACCAGAATATATCTTTGATTATGGTAAAAGGTTTTGGGAGTACAATTTGTATCAAGATTTTAGTTTTCGCTTAGTAAATATAGTCTTCAATTAATAACTTAATAACCTACCTTGTACTCTCTTTGGAAGAATTTTAAAACATTTTTTAAACTTAAAGAAATGTGAAAACACTATTTGAAAAATTAAAGAAAGTGCAAACAATTCTTGTAAAAATTAATTATTCATCAATTTTTTTTCTTCAGACAATAATGTCCTTAATATATATTATTCATATTCAAATAAAAGCCTATCTAATTAGATAATTAGATACTTTTATTGCAGTTATTATTTTACGATTTGGGAGTAGTTGTGAAAAAAAATAATGATTTACATTCTCCAAGGAGTCTTATAAGTAATATAAATCAATCTGCGAACTGTTTGAAATTCTTGAACATTTCATAAAATTAAGTTATGTGGGTGGAGTAATAGATGTAAAAAATAATTTTACCAAGATTTTCTAAAAATAAAAATTTCAAAAATAAATTCATTCATTTTTGAATAAGTCCTGAAAGTTTCATTAAAATGAAAAATTATTTGTTTTTTGCAAGAATTTCCAAATTAATGTGGAAAAAATGTCCATTATCACAAATCTTACTTACAAAGTTGACAAAAACCGAGATTTTTAGCCAACTTTAGAACGTCTTAGAAAGGAGGAAAATTTTTTTAAAATAATTACAAAATACTTTGTTATTTCCTCTTAATTATAATATAAAAAATTTGTGGTTAGAACTTTGTTTTATTAAGTTTGGGGCTTTTTATCATCATGCTATACTGCTTTTTATAGCGAATTATTGGAGGTACCTATTATATAGTGATTTTATTTTAATAGTACAACTACTATTAACTATGGTTATATTTTTTAAATGATATTCTTGGCATCAATTGAATTTCTCTTAGAAACTGGAAAATGTAAAGTGGATGAGAAGTTTGAAAAAGTTCTTTCAAGTTTGTTAGAATTTTAAAAATATTAAATTAAAATGGTGAAGTTTGTCAAATGTTTTTTTTAACGCAGTAAAAAAAAAAAGAAAAAGAAGAAGGAGAAAAAAAGGGAAAAAATTTTAAAGTTAAAAGATAGAAAAAAGAAAAAAAAGATAAATGTTTTGAAAAGAAAAAAAAAAAAAAATTTCTTTTATAAAAAATCAAAAAGTTAAAGAAAGAAAGAAAAAATGAAAGAAAAGAATGAAAGAAAGAAATGAAAGAAAGAAAACGATTAAGAAAAAATCAAAAAAGAAAAATAAAAGAAATGAAAATCGAAAAAAAAAAAAAAAAGAAATATCAAAAGAATGAAAAAAAAAAAAGAAAAAAAAAAAAAAAAAAAAAAAAAATGAATGAATGAGATAAAAAAAAAAAAAAAAAAAAAA